GAGGGTGGGGTGGGGGGGTGCCTCTGTGGCAAAGACTTGTGGTGGGCGTCCCTTGTAGATGGGGGAGTCCCTGAGTAAAGGTCTTACCCAGAGCCCCTCAAACTCACGTCTGGGATTAACTCTGGCTGCAGGCAAAAGAATTTGGGGCTTCTGGATCAATCACCTGGTGAACTGCCTGGCTGCAGGGTGGAAAGTAGGTGCGATGGGTGTCCGACCGCTCTAAAATATCGAGGGGCTTCCTTCCTCTCCTCAGCTGCGCCAGCATCTCTGAGCTCTGATTGCTTTTACTTCAGGTGAACAGCTTTGTCACTGTGTGCGAAACCTGGCGTTCTGTCTCCGTGTGCATCCTCCAGGATACATTACTCACCCGCGTGATGTGGGATAACCTGCCAAAGCATACTGTCGTGTGTAAATGCAACTTCCTCGCCTCCGTGGGCCACGTCCTCCTTCTGTAACTCTTCTTGGCTAGTGCTTAAGGGCTGGGACTGGCACATCTACCTGCTGAATGGGAGGATTAAAAAACCTCTGACTCTGTTTTTCAGGTACAAATCCAGTCCAAGCCAGTGATATCCGTGTTTGGTGAGTGGAGTAAAGCTGTCAGCCTGCCACAGCAAAGCCTTTAAAGGGCTGTTTCACCTTCCACAGATGAGTATTTTCACTGCCTGGATCAGGCCAAGGTACCAGGAATTGAGTGCTGAAAGTTCTTTATGTATCTGATATGTGATGCACATTTGGTTTTAATCAAAATCCCATTGAAACAGGCAGTCAGGATTTAGAGCATAGGATTACAAGTAATACCGGGTTATTATTAGTAATCACTTTTCATCATGCCTTGCACTTACAAGATACAACACAAGCCCGGCAGAAATATACTGAAATACATAATTCCTTTTATTAAAAAAATCAAATTGTGCGAAGTGAATAAATCATGTAGTACAGTAATACGAGAAGACCTTTAACTTGCCTTCATTTCTGTTCCCAATTAACTCAAACGCAACAGAAGACAATAGTTGCAACTTGACGTTGGGCATTAAACAATTGTACCTTAAACATACAGCGGTTGCGACACAATTAAACCAATTCTGACTTTTTTTTTTTTTTTTGCATATAAATTGCGAGATATTAAATCCCTTTGTTTAATAAGAAGTTTTTGAGCAGGTTTTTTGTTGTTGTTGTTGCCAGGTTTATGGAGCGAAGGCCAAAGCCTGTAGACAGATCCAAGTGGCTTTGTTGGGGCAGACACCCAGGTAACTCTTAAATTGTATCCTGCCTTTTGGAACAAGTTCTGACATCACTTGCACCGGTGCAGCCAGAGTTATTCATTTGGGCTAAACAAATTAAAAGGTTCTGCTTAGCCTCTCCCTTACTTTGCTTTTATACTGTCAGTGTAATTGAAGCTACTCCTGGTTTATAACTCTACGACGGGGAACTGCATCCAGACAGCGTGTAGTGACGCATCAGAGTAATGGCGTAGATGAAGGGCTAATATTGAATTCGGCGGTTATACTAATGTACACCTGTTGGGGATCTGCTCCAGCGAGACGTGCGCAGGCGGCTGGCGAGCAGTCAAGGCCTCCAGACAGCGCAGGTTGGATCCCGACGGCGCACGGAGCGCTGCCCGTGAGGCTCAAGGGCCCGTTCAAGTTGCGTGGAGCGGAGAGCCTTGCTGGGGCCGTCTCTGTGCGAGCCCACGGTGCTGCTCCATGGCGTGGCGAGCCCACCGTGATGCTCCGTGGCGTGGTGAGCCCACCGTGATGCTCCATGGTGTGGCAAGCCCATGGTGCTGCTCCATGGCGTGGTGAGCCCACCGTGATCCTCCATGGTGTGGCAAGCCCATGGTGCTGCTCCATGGCGTGGTGAGCCCACCGTGATGCTCCGTGACGTGGTGAGCCCACCATGCTGCTCCATGGCCTGGCGAGCCCACGGTGCTGCTCCGTGGCGTGGTGGCACTCCCCAGGCGTCCCTTCTGGGTGCTCACAGAGCCAGGGGCAGCGTGGCGGCAGGCCGAGCCGCGAGGAAAGGGTGGGGTGGCTGCAGACGTGGGCGCCCAAGTGTCGCCGCCGCGAGAGGCGGCAAAAAGAGGAGGTTGGTTTGCTTGGAAGGAGCAGAGACGTGCAGGGTCTTGCACTTGGCCTGGTTGAACTTCATGATGTTTGCACAGGCCCACCTCTCAGGCCTGTCACGGACCCTCTGGATGGCATCCCTTCCCTCTAGCGTGTTGACCAAACCACAAAGCTTGATATTGTTGACAAACTTGCTGAGGTTGTTCACAACTTGCTGATTGTCACCAATCATGACACAAATTCAACCAACAATCAAAAAGAAACATGCATCTTTGAGTAGCAGGAGGTAAAAGTACATATTTCAAGAGTGAGTGGGATGACAGGGCATAAGGTAAAGAAAAGCTCTGAAAATTACATACTTATTTTGAGTCTGACAACAAGAGGTAGCATCCTGACCTGTAAAATAATCAGGACAAAGCAATTCAATAAGCTTAGAAAACAGTTGATTTTGGATGGACCTTCAAGGGAAAAGACTATTATACTTATCAAGGATAAAGAAAGCTATAATATTTAAAGCTATAATATTAAAAACAGATGAAAGTCAAGACAAGAATTGTAAGCTCAAGCTTAACAATCACCAGAACATATCAGAGAACTAGGACCTCTCCTTAAATTCCAGAAAATCATAGATTTGCAGGTTTTCACTATCTGGGCGAGATATGACCACACATCTGTACAGAATCAGTAAACATCAAATGCAGAAAAAAGAAGCAGGCTTCTATGAAACCAATACACAAAGCTGACCCAGAGAAGAACAGCATTCGGAAGGCAAAACGATGAAATATGGACAGAAAGTAAACAGTATGAGAACATCAAAATATAGAAGACATCCCAAGATTAAAACAAAGTTTTGAAAGATGAGACTAGGTGTGCTGGGTTTGAGTGAGTGGCGGAGTTTTTGATAGCAGGGGAGGGGGCTACAGCAGTGGCCGCTATGAGAAGCTTCTCAAAGCTCTCTGGCCAAGATTGAGCCAATTAGCAACAGTGGCTGCACCTCTGTAATAATGTATTTAAGAAGGGGAAGCTGAAAAGAGGAGTTGGAGTTGTGAGTTCCAACGAGAACACTTCTGCAAACA